AACATAATATAATATAACATAATATAATATAATATAATTTTTAATTTATTACTTTAATAAAATAAAAATTCAATTCTTTCAAATTTTTGAATTACGCCAATTTCATAATCACCAGGACCTGGAAAGTATTAAAGTAATTAATACTTTAATACTAAAGAAAGTATTGTAGTATCGGGGCCTCCATACTGAAATAGGAAACCAACAATGGACAATACAAAGGGAGCAGTTGGCGTAATGTGCAAAGCCTCGGCTTGCTAAGCCGAAGGTGTCCCGGGTTCGATTCCCGTTTGGGTCCTTCGAAATTTTTTCATCGATTCCTACACTATTAATACTAGAAAAAGTATTATATATGGTTTAAATTACATTTTTCCCCCTGAATTAGTATCGTATATCAATAAAAATATACAGAGTGGGATTTTCATGCTATTACTTTCCAACCCGCTATCACGTGAGAGATAATCAAAGAGCGGGAGTATAGAAGAAAGAGGATTTAGAGTGGAGAGTTATAGAGATATAAAGAATGTCGACATTATTGTTATTGTTGAGTTAAATATAGTCGTTATTGTTATTAAATTCTTGAAAAACCTGCCTACAACCCAACATTCCTACGCCATTAGCGTGCCTAAGGGACATCGCGAGCACCCTTCCTTTCCACCCTTAGCCGCTTCTGTCAGAAAAGGGTGGCGATATCTAACAATAAAGCCAAGCTAACGGATGTTTTAACAACGTTAAATTCCCCTCAGGTTCCCTCCATTCGGTCTCCCGATCGTTGTGACTAATTTTCTGACTGACCCTTCGGAAATCCCCACTTTATAACACGTCTTTGAACATATTAAGAACGAGAGAAGCGAATTTTGAAAAATTCTAAGATGTAAACTTCAATTTCCGTAGCCAAGACATATCTTAACTAGATTTTTTTATTGTAGCCATTGATATTTCTGGATCGAAGCTGTGATATCTGTGCTGAAACACATAGATTGTCTTTCTAACACTATGCCTTGTATATTGAACGAATAAACAATGATAATATCCACAATCTTTAAGCCGACATGTGTTATGCATTTGTTTAGTCTTCGAGTGATCAGCGTTCAGTAATTTTTGATAGCCTTAAAATTTATTTCTTTTTTTATCGTTATTATTGTTACTTTCATTATTTTGCGAATTTTTTTAATAAATTGTGACACTCGAAACAGAATTATTTGTGTTATACTAGTTTTTTGCCCAATTTCGGTTCTTCGAGGTGAAAACAGCCCTTGAACGAAGCCCGGATACTTCTCTCGAAGTCCCCTACAAACCCACAAAGTTTCAAAAAAATAGGAATTTTCGGGTTACCGAAGTTCCCTTGTAAGTGCATTTTTTTCTTTTTTGGGCGGGGGAAATCCTCATGGACACTCCACCCCACGGGGAGGGGGCGGGGTAGTGACGGACTCGTACCGGCTAAAACCCCCACGGTGGACCTTCCTCGGGGTGGGCCCAAGATCTCGAAACGAACGCCACTGGACCCACCCCACGCCTGGCCCCTCCCTCAAGATGTTCGCGGAGGGAGGGGCGCCATCTCGGAGTGGGTCAACTAGACCCCCTTATCACCGCCGACCACACCGGCGG